TCGAGTTTTACGCTCAACTCGAAACTGAGACCGAAATCAGACAAATTGTGTTCATTGAGAAGAGGGCTCAACTCATAACCCTTTCCGCTGATAGTTCTCTGCATTTATGGGAAATCAATACCAAAACCAATGAGAATGAAGCCAAGAGTGGAGTCTTGGAGTGCGTGAAGACATGCGATTACTTCCGGAACGAGGCCTCGAAGGAAGGCTCAATCAAACAAATCACAACCATTTCTGTCAATTCAAACTCTGATGTATTACTGGTTGGCACTCAGAACGGAAACACATATCTTCTCGATTTGGAGACATTTGACTTAAACGATCAAGTCATATACCAAGCCGTTGTCCTCCAGAACATTCCCGACGATTATAAGTTCAATCCGGGATCAGTTGAAGTGATTGCTGAGCAGCCCCTAAACCCCAATAAGTTTCTCATTGGATATAATCGCGGTCTTTTGGTTCTATGGGATAACCAAACCCTAACCGCTGATAACTATTTTTTCGCAAATCAGGTTTGAATCAAAGAATTTGTATTGTTTTTGGATGAAATGAAATGAAATTTATTATTTGTAAAGCAATTGGAATCCGTGCACTGGTTGTCAAATGGACAGCAGTTTATCAGTGCCCACAACGACGGCAGTTATATTGTGTGGAAAGCAACGGATAGTTTACATACGGCAGAGCAGCCTAAGACACCTTACGGACCCTTTCCCTGCAAAAGCATCAGTAAAATTATTTGGAAAACTGTGCAAAACAGGTATAACTTTACTCTTAATTCACTTTGAATTACAATATCGATTGAGTGATTTATTTTGACATGAATTTAGCGATGATTTCATAATATTCAGCGGAGGAATGCCTCGCGCTTCATATAATGATAAGCACACAGTTTCCATAATACAAGGAACTCCTGAAAGTGGTAAACATCATGTCCTCGACTTTACCTCCAAAGTCATCGACTTCCTAGTGATTGGTCCGCAAAATAATACAAAAGGTATTTGATTTAAAACTTATTACCGTATTTTAAATTTATTAAATGATTGCTTTTCTATTCTCAGATTTCGATAATCCCACGACTCTTATAGTACTGGTCGATGAAGAGATAGTTTTGATTGATTTAACTCATCCGGAATGGCTTCAGCATAGACTCCCGTATCTGTCAAGTGTCCACTCGTCTGCTATAACCTGTTGTCAGCACTACAGCAGTGTTTCGGATCAGATCTATAAGAAGATCGTTGAGGCGGGAAGAGTACAGAACACCGGGAAGTTTACTTCAAAGGAATGGCCCATAAATGGCGGTCAAAGTGCGTCCAAAAGTGTGAATACAGGTCGCGACCTACTGGTGACCGGTCACGAAGATGGCAGCGTTCGCTTTTGGGACTCGAGTTCTGTTTCGTTGCAACACTTGTATACTCTGATGACAAACAAACTCTTCCTTTTGAGTGATGACGACATAGCACTCATCGACAGCGACGACACGGCTCTCAATGAGACCAATGCGGAGGACGAGTGGCCGCCCTTCAGAAAAGTGGGCACTTTTGACCCCTACAGCGATGACCCGAGATTTGCCGTCAGGAAAATAGCGCTCTGTGTGTACACGGGTTCGCTCATCATTGCCGGCACTGCCGGTCAAGTGATTGTGTATGAGTTGAAGGAAGAGGCCACTGAAAAACCATTGACCAGTAATCAGTTGAGTATTGTTGGCGATAAGGATGGCTTTGTATGGAAAGGACACTCGCAGCTGACCCCTAAAAATGGTAACATTAAGTTTGATTGGGGTTATCAGCCGTCAAGTATAGTGCAACTCCAACCGCCCGCCTCTGTCACTGCTCTGGCACTCTATGCCGAATGGGGTCTCTTAGCCGCCGGTACAGCGCATGGGTTTGCCATCTTTGACTATCTCTACCGCAAAGTTGTGTCCACCAAAACCACTCTAAACCCCAACGATCTGACCGCTGTCTCGGGAGGCGATGCTCTCATTTCAAGGCGAAAATCATTCAAAAAGAGTTTACGCGAATCGTTCAGACGTTTAAGAAAAGGTCGTTCACAGAGAGGCGACAAAAGAGCCGGTTCTCCGACATCAACGCCTGCCTCGTCCTCATCGCCATCAAAGTCCATAGAAGAGGGCCGCAAATCACCCAAAACTGAAGTGATTCAGATTGAGACCAAACCTGTCGAGAGACAAATCGAGGCGCGATCTGCTGAAGACTCGATGGGATCAATGGTTCGCTGTTTGTATTTCTCGAATGCATTTATTGTCAACAGTAAGTCAACAATGATTAGTAAATATTGCCGTTTATTAATATGTTTTCCTTGTGTAGACTCGACTCAAACTCCGACTCTCTGGGCGGCCACTAATGCCGGCAATGTATTCATATATACAATGGTATTGCCGTCCGATGACAAGAGAGCGTCTGAAGACGTGAGCTCTCAATTGGCTAAAGAAATACATCTGAAACACAGAGCGCCTATCGTTGCCATTCAGATAATTGACGGAAACGGTGTTCCACTGCCCGACTCCTATGAAGTACAGAAAGGAGTGGCAAAGATTCCCACTTCTAGTGGACATCGAGTGCTGATCTGTTCGGAAGAGCAGTTCAAACTCTTCAATCTCCCAAATCTCAAACCTCTTCATAAGTTCAAACTGACCGCACATGAAGGCGCCAGAGCTCGGCGTATAGCCAACGCTCAGTTCACCAGCAAAGCCAATGACAGTCACATGGAATACCATGTGTTGTGTCTCTCAAATCAGGGCGATGTCAGTGTCCTATCGATTCCCGAATTAAAGCGTCAAATGCAGACTCAATGCACGAAACGGGAAGACATTAACGGAATTTCAAGTTTAGTGTTCACTCGTAACGGAGAGGGCTTTTACTTGCATTCTTCGAGCGAATTCAGACGGTTCTCACTATCGGCCCGACATATAGTTGAGCCCATTTGCACCGTTGACTTACCCGAAGGTTCCCGACCCGTGAAGCCTACCCAACAAAGACCTCCAATCGCCGCCGCGTCTGTCATAGAAGAGCCCATCGCTGAGGAGAAAGAGGAGGAGAAGACTACTGAAGACATTAATGAACGGGAGATCACAGGAGAGCCACTCCATGAAGATAAAGTAGCGCCAAATGATTGCGCGGATGAGTCGACGCCCACCAGTGGTATAGAGGAGTCTCCCGTCAACCACAATGACTTCGAGCCCCCAGAGATTAACTACAATACACTTCCGGACTCAGCCGATGAGATAGAGATAACGACTCACGAAGAAGTGTTGACAAACGGCACGAATGGAAATGCCGTTAACGGTGACAATGACTCAGATTCTCAGATTGAAGCAGATATTGACGTCTCGAATGTGACGGAAAGCTCTGTCAAAACCAACTCAATGGACATCACTATCGATAGCGTGAGAGACCACTTGACGTATGTTTTTGTTATCACTTTTATTGCATTTAGTTATAAATAAATGCTTTTACCGTATATTTGATTAGAAATTTAAGTATTTGTGTCGAACCGGAAGGCCATGAGGTGAAGAAGAATCCATCGCCAATTCCTAACGAATCGCTTCCAATCATTAACTCACACGAAGGCATGTCCTCATAGTTCCCATAATGTGATTGTTATTCAATTTTACTTAATAACACGTTTCTATTTTACAGATTAAACAATTAAATCACGTTTTATCGCATAAACTCTGATATTTGGGATCTATTTCGCAAAACATATTTTATATCATATTTAATATCTTTTCTGTGAATTCAGCTTATCTTTGGTTTCTTAGAATTTCTAAATATTTTAGTTTTACTCCAAAATCTTAATTAATTGTTTGGTTTTTAAAATATTTTTTATAAACTATATCCTAATACAGACACATTAAGTAATAATTTTGCTCAAAAAGTTATATTTTTGCTCTAAATTTGTACTAGGGTAATTTTAGGATTGAGTTATTTTTAAAAGCTTTAAAAATGTCCTTAATTATGGCTTAATATAAAGTCTTAAGTCATGATTAGAATTATATAAAAATAAGTTTATTTTTTGATCCAAGAGGTATTCTTCCAAAGTCTACACTATATCTCCACTAAAATCTCTTTATTTTGCATTTCATTTAGTATTTAGTGATTACATGAATGGCCTTAAAGTCTAATTTTGCTTTATTTTCAAATTTCTTGAATATATTTGTCTTCTTATATACTCTCATATAGTGTTTGTTTGTATCTCTATTTTATATAATATATTCAAATTTATTGTAAATTTTACTATTTTTTAATAATTGATAATCAAATCATTTCATTTAAACAGAAATCATACAAATATTAATAACTTTGTAATTATTTTCAATAAATTATTTAACTTTTCATATAATTTATACAAATTTCGAAAATAAATATAATTTTGTGGGTATTTCTGTGTTATTCGCAGTATTATTGTTATTACATTAGACTATATTAGTGAGCAACCATGGTCAGTTAAACATATCGAGTACAGTATACAGTATATACATTTATAATATGAGTCTTATAGTGTATGCCTTTACAATCAAATCGTGTGACACTGACCCCGATAATGACAGTCATATTAGGAATATTCCTAAATTGGATGCCATCTCACAGTCAGCAGACATACAGTGAGTCTCATTGAATGCAATTCGTTGTGATTGTTGTCCTCTAACCAGAAAACAAAGCATTTCTTGAATCGCTTTGAATTGCATTTATTTCCACTCAAATGTATCACAAATTCATTTCATTTGCTAACAATTGATGGTATTTTCAAAACTTATACAAACTTTTCTATCATTACTTGTTTGACCGTCAATGCCACCACTTTATAGATGACTTTCATTTAAGTACCTTTTATAGTAAGTATAAAGCAGTTCTTTACAGTAGGCGGTGTACAGGTATAAAAGGGAACAAATTGTTAGCAAAAAAATAAGAGCCAATAAGAAGCGAGTATTTTGTTAGAGAATTGTTAGAGAATTCAGAGTTTGAGACAGATTTGGACGAATGGTGTGAGAGATGGTCGTAATGTTGAGCGATTGAGTGATTGTGTGCCGCAAATGCATTGAACGCATCATTCAGTCATTCAGTGATTCAGTGATCGGTCTCTAAATACTCCATATATTTGTTGTCCAGTTGTGAGCATTGATTGCATTGACTGCACGACCACTACATCCATAACAAAGTAAGTGACTGTTTGTCTATCTGTCTGTCTGTCTGTGTGTGTGTCTGAACTGATCCGTTGGTGTAGATGTCTTCGGGGGACAAGAAGGCGGTGGTGAAGAACGCGGACATGTCAGAGGAGATGCAGGACGACGCGGTGAACACTGCGCTCCAGGCGCTCGACAAGTATAACATCGAGAAAGACATCGCCGCGTATATCAAGAAGGAGTTCGACAAGAAGTATAACCCCACCTGGCATTGCATAGTTGGCCGCAACTTTGGCTCATATGTCACCCACGAGACCAAACACTTCATCTACTTCTACTTGGGACAGGTCGCCATCCTATTGTTTAAGAGTGGATAGTCCCCGACATCACCCCTCGAGTCACCGCATCATATGATTGTATTGTTTGATAAGTTTTGCTAAATATTTGTTTTTACGTTCCCTTCAGTTAACGTCTATTTTGTTCAGTTATTGTTCACTTATATATCAATTAAAAACACATTTTTCCCAAATTGTCGCCAAAATTGTTTTATTTTGTATTTAATGTAATTTACAATCATATCGATTGCGGCATATAAGGCACCGGTAGGTTGCGTTCACTTCTTGTAGGCGCAGTGAATGGCAGCGATTCCCCCGAAGAAGTTGGTGTACTCGACGAACCCAAAGCCCGCGCTCTCTATCATGGATTGGAACTCCTTTTGGTCGGGAAACTGACGAATACTTTCCACTAAATATTGATAAGACTTCCAGTCTTTGGCAAAGACTTCGCCCAAAACGGGAATCATTTCAAACGAATAGAAGTCATAGAGTTTGGACAGCAATGGGTTCTGGAGTTGAGAGAACTCAAGACATGCAAACATAGCGCCTCTTCTGAGCACCCGATGGGCCTCTGATAAGGCCTTCTCGATGTCGACCACATTCCTGATGCCGAAGCCAACGGTGTAGGCGTCGAACCGGTTGTCTTCAAACGGCAATTCCATGGCATCGCCTGAAACCCATTCCATGCGATCGCAAGCACTCGGAGACAGACTTTGTTTGGCTCTGTTTTGGCCCACTTTTAGCATCTGTTGGTTGATATCACAGACAATGACTTTGAATTGATTGTCATTAGGAAACCGATGTCTCATATGAGTGACAAACTCCTGTCCGATATCTCCAGTGCCGCCGCACATGTCCAACAGAACCGTCCCTTTCATTGGATCCAACTTTCGGATCAGTTCTCTCTTCCAATACCTATGAATACCTAAACTCATGACATCATTCATGAGATCATAGTTTGGTGCCACGGATGTGAAGACCTGGTTCACTGCAAACACAGACATTGACAGCAATTGGTGTCACACTTTCATGTCATTTGCAAACCTTTGTGTGACTTCTCATCGGTGGTGACGCTCTCGAAGCCAAAGTGAGTGCTCTTTGAGGCCATTCTTATGGTGGAAGACATCCATCGGTGAACCACTTGTTTATAAGTGATCATCAAATTGACACACATTTCACTGCATTTCAAGTGATGTTTGGATCAGTGATTGTCATCACAAACACAACATTCACTTCACAGTCACTCATATGCTATGTTTGCAACACTTTCTACAACTAGTAATATAGCACTCAATAGGGTTGTAGAGTTCAATAGGGTTGTAGAGTTCAACACTTCATTCAATGAAATGATTTTGCAATCAATCAATAATTTAATTTAATTCCCTTTATTTACATTTAATTCAAGTTAAATAAAATTTAATAATATTAAAACTGTATGTATATATTTCTATATAACTTAATATATTATACAGTGTATAACTTTTAAAAAACTTATTTACGAATAGCAAGCACATAAATTATATCAGATATAGATAAAATTTTGAATGTATGAATGGAATGTAATTTTGATTTATATACTTGATTTAGTAACTAAATATTAAGTTAGTTAATTTTAATAAATAACGCAGATATTGTTGGACGTACTTTATAGATTTTTATTAATACTGCAGGTTAGGTTTCAAACTTACCACTTATTTTCATTCCCTTTGCCATTCCTTGTTAAGGTCCGAGAATCCCTTTCCTTTCCCTTAAAAATTTCGTTAAATATTAGCAATAAATAATGCACTAAATCACGTGTTAATACATTAAATACGATTTTAATGCAACTCTAGTAATTACGGATTAATACCTTTATAAAAGGTTTTATATATTTTAGAAATTTATTGAATGTCAAGCTAATGATTTTAGTTACTTGTATTACATTTAAGATTGAGATTTAAGGGAAATTTTAAGGGAATTTTGATATAAGGGATCCCTTACACACAAAATGGGAATCTTGCCATATATGATTTTTGATTCCCTTTCCCTTCCCGTTCCATTAAGGGAATGGTAAGGGAACGTGAAGTTTAAGGGAAAAGGAAACCCAACTTTGAATGTACTACTTGTATGAACTTCATTGTAAAGTTATCTATTAAATTGATGTGACATATGACCAATATTTATAAAGAAAAATTTTCCGATAACAGTGGTCACTGCCGCCGAACCCGAGGTCACGACTAAATTAATTACATATTCGGACTCCTCGTTGAAAGTACTGCAGTATATTATATGATTCAATATACATGTGACCAGAATATGTCAATTTGGACCATGTTCTTTATTTATCATATGTTCACTATTGGTTCGTTATAAATAACGTCACCATACGCGTGCTTTTTATGAAAAGCCTCACGTAATTTCATTATAAAGGTATCACATATGATGACTGATCAATGCTAGGGTCATGGGTTACAACCTGTATTGAACTGTCATAGTATTAGTACCGAAATAATTATAATTATAATTAAATGACTGTTATTTTGTTCAGGAAAGCACTGGTATGCGAGTGACTGTCACTCGACTGCAGCCCAACTCCTCACTCGTCATACGTCTACATAATGGATGGTCTCAACCAATAGGAGACGACTATTTAAATTTGGAGCTAATATTGCGAGCATTCGATTGGACAGCCATTTGGTGGCCATTGAAATGTGTTCACCATTCGTGTGATGAGATTATTGTCAAAATGAAGGCATTTGCTGAAGACATTGACACCATTGCCACCATTGAGGACAACACACACCACACACTCACTGCAGACACCAATGAGAGCAAAGAAATTATAGTCAAAAAAATGATAGCCTTTTGTGTCTCTTCATGCGTGGACCAGAGGTTGTCCTCCGTGTCCACACAGTTGCAGACATTGACCGCTGAGTCCATCCATAGGACCAACACTTTACAAGACTATCACTTCACCAAAGCCATCTGTGAGTCGAAGGAAACTCAAGTGAATTGCAGCGCAAATGGTGTCCTCTCTTGTGATGATTACACCCTTAAGACTAAAACACAATTATATAGCAACGGATCAGCTGTGAAGACACACGTCAAGCAAGACATCACACAATCACCTCATGTGACCACTCATGTCAACAAATGTGTGACAAATGGCTTGAATGGCAGCACTGCTACTAAATTAGTGACCAATACTAGTAGTAAACACATTGTGCTCACCAATGGATTCAATGGTAGTGATAGTCACTCATCAGTCAACAAATGTGTGCCGAAGACCTGTAGTGCAGAGCATGTGGTCTGCAATGGGTCTCAAGTGACCAATGGATCACTCGAGAAGACTCCGTGCGCTGAGAAACGGTCGGCGCTTACCATGAAGAGCATCATTGGCTCCAATGGTGACCTCAAAGAGCCAGAAGTGGTGACCATTGGTGACAGCGATGACGACGAGCCCGACTCCAAGATTAGCAGACATTGACTGTAATGACAACTCATTTATTATAATTGATTGTAATTATTATAACTATTATTATATTTCATTGTATTTAATGACATGTTTTTTATCAAATGATTTAACATTAATGACATATTTTACCATTTTTTCAAATAAATACTGAATTCACTGTCAAATCATTATTACTGTTATTATATGTGATTATATTGTGAGAACATGGTTTCAATGGATCCCATGTGTGCCCTACGAGTCGGTGCCAATGATCCGGCTCATATTATCGCCGAACTTTCTATGTTTAACATGTGCTGCACAACTAGGGTGACCAACTCACTTTTATTATTCTACACAACCAACTAGGTACATTCATTTATAATTATTTTGTGTTTATTAATTATTATAATTAAGACATCATATTATATTGTTAACAATACTATATTTGAAAATTTTATAATTTTGGACAAAATATTTTGGTTGTAATCAGGAATATATAATTAAAAAAATAGATTATCAAATGGATACAAAATATTTCTAATATTAATTTTGATTGTAATATTAAGACTATTGGTGCAAGCACATGGTATGTAATATATATTTTTAAAAGTACCATTCTTTAAAAGATCAAGATCAAGCCACTCAAGTAGAAACTACCCAGATTCATTCAGCAAATGCTTAATATTAGATTGCTTTTAATTATATTTAATACCTAACATTTAAAAAAATTAAAATAAATAATTTAAAAGTTAGATATACCACTGCCATACAATATACTGCACAATACCATTTACATTAGATCTAGATCTAATATTGCATATCAACATTTGGGGCAAAAAATCCATGTTTCTCCAAAATTTTATTTTGATCAAGTTAGACTCTAATTTAAATTGGTATTTAAAAAATAAATTAAAATATAAATTTATAACAAAAATAAGTCAAATTAAATTCTTGTTAAAATTAAACACATAATATTATGACCACATTTGGATCTAGTTCCGATGACCTAATAGTCAATTGACCTAATTAAAAATTTCACTTTCAATTCAAAATAATAAAAATAATTATGCCAATAAATCAAAAAGCACGTCACCACAATCTACGTTATTTATGAACAAAAATTAAAATTGTAATCAGGATTAACTATATTCTCTAATCTCATGTAAAATTAATTGTCCAATAAATAATATGCTTTAAAAAGTTGATCTAGTTATTAAGTATTGTACGCAAAATATAATTACTTTAAATAACAAACATAATCAAATAAATAACAGATAATTGGCGCCTCCAGTTGAGTGGACTGTTTTTGGAATTTTTATAAAATGAGAAAATGACCGCAATATTCGACAAATATTTTGCCACAAGAATTCTGGAATCAATTAAAATTTGATCATTATAATTACACGCGCATATTCGAGGTCCATTAAAGTAAAAATTAAAAAATATAAGCAAAAAATTTATTAAGTTGTGGGGGTGCAAAATTGTACGTATGAATGGGAGGGGAGTTCACTTTTGCGTACGATATGCAACAAAAGGGTGAATTTTTGGTCAAAATTTTGCGTACATTCCTATTGAATTTGCCATTATCAGTTTAACATTGCTCACATTTACAAGTAAAGTGGTACAGTACTACAGTATTTGTCAAAATATTTGCAATGTTGGTGAAATAATTGATTAAATGTTTGATCACTTTGAATACAGAATTTTGAATGTTTAGATTTGTGTGCTTTGCCTCAATTCGGGGCAGATTTGAGACCATTTAAGGTTACAAAATAATTATTATTTCACAAAACTCCCCCAAAACAAGCTTTTCTCTCCCGAATGGTAAGCATTCAATGAATTGGTGAACAATTTTTACAACTCATTTGAGTAGTAATACTGTAATACTGTACAACATTTCAATATTCTCTATAAGAATACAAAAAGTGACATACAGTATACACTTGGTCAATTTAGTGATACAACCTGCAATGTTTTTTGCAGTATATACAACCTCACTCACTAAGTGAATGTATGAACATTTTGTGTGCTATAGTCTACTACTATATTCTACAGACTGTTAGACTGACTGCAGTCATGTGAGTGTTATGTAATTCATAGTTGTTATGAAAACATATGATGTAATGGTTGTGTACTATAGGCAACACAAGACTTACGATAATACTGGTATAGTCATGGTTAGTTTGTGAGACATTGAGTCATTGGATCCGCTCATGGATTTGCCTAACATTAAGGGATTGCTATGAATGGACACCATCGGCACCACTGATGACAACGACATGGATGCCGATGACAATGAGGAAGACCTGGACGAAGAACTGAACGCTATATTGAGTGGACAGACATATATACC